CATTTAAAGCTTTTAATTTCTTCCTTGATTTATGGCACAGCTGTTTCTTGAATGGAGAAAATGCAAGGACTGTGTGCCATCTAATTAGATTACATTCCTGTGTGTCTCCCACATTGAGTGGAGGCTACTAATCAAATCTTGATATTTTTAATTTGTTTTTCAAATTTAATTCATCACATCAAGATAGTTATAATGGGTGCCTTGCCCCCACTGTGCTGTATCATAATAACCTATTCATGTCTTTTTCTCCCATATTATGTGATAAATTTATTAAAGGTAGGATTGTGTCATCATCAAACCTTTGGTGTCCCTGGTCTCCTTATGCTGTTGGCTTTCGCCAGCTTAGGCTCCTAAAACTTACTCATTAACGCTGAGGCTCTATCATCCCAGCGGTCATGCTCAGTCACTCTGCTCCAACCTCATTTCTGTGCAGTCATTTGACTTGACTTTTGTAGAAATTGATTCATACTGTTTTAAAGAAATACAACCGTAGGTGATTAAATCCAGGGTAAAAGAGGTACCTTGCTTTTTCGGTGATATTCTTGACATTGCTGATACATTTGTCATAGTTTTCTCTTTTGTAAATGTAGCTAGCTGCCCCGCTGTCCTCCCCCTCCTTGGCTTTTTTCTCCTCTCTGCCTCCCCAGCCCTTCTTCAGGTCTCTGCTAATATTAGCATCTTCACTGATTTACCCGGTTGACATCTAGAAGCTACTTTTTGATTACCTGGTATTTCAAATTACTTTTATTCTGAAATTATTTCTTATTAAAAAAACCCCACACAAATTTTAAAAATGGCTTAGCTTGGGATGATTAATGGGAGATATGTGATAGTAATTAGTCAAAATAAAGTATCTCCTATATGTGAAATAAAGTGTTGCAAAATTCCTTGTAAAATTACAGTAGTCCCCTGTTATCTCTGGGGGATTCGTTCCGTGATCCCCAGTGGATGCCTAAAACCACAGATATTACCGAACGCTATGTATACTATGTTTTTTCCTATGCATACAGACCTATATAAAGTTCAGTTTATACATCAGGCACAGTAAGAGAGTAACAACAACTAGTAGTAAAATAGAACAATTATAACAATATATTGTAATAAAAGTTATCAAAGATCTTTGTAACCTCAGCGTACGAGATTTTTTTCTTTCCTGACTAAGTGGAGAACTTTCACCTTTTCACTTGAAGCACTTCATGGCTTCTCTTCGACGTTTTGGAATTGCCAGCATCCCTTCTCTTGCACTTTGGGGCCATTGTTAGTAAAATAAGCGTGACTTGAACACAAGCACTGTGATACCGCGACAGTCAATCTGATAACCAGGAGGCTAAGTTGGACTCACAGGCAGGTGGTGTGTATAGTCTGGATGTGCTGGACAAAGGACTGAGTCACGTCCCGGGCAGGACGGAGCTCGACTGCCCAAGATTTCATCACACTACTCAGAGTGGCGCACAGTTTAAATCTTATGAATTGTTTATTTCTGGAATTTTCCATTTAATATTTTTGGACCTTGGTTGACAGCAGGAAACTGAAACTGTGGGTTACTTTGCAGATAAACTTTGATTTCGTTAGTTGTTTGCAGTGGGGTAGTTTTAATGATAGAAACACATTCGTAATTAGTAAGCATCTAATCCTTTATTAAGCAGTCATCAGGTTTGGTCTTATGATGAGGGACAATCAAGTGGACTTAGAGAAATGGGCTAAATGTGGAGAAATTGCGTAATAGGCAAAAGCATTTCGTCTACAAAGAAGATGTTAATTGTTGCCTTTCTTCCCCCTGTGTTTATGTGGTCATAAAGATGACTGTATTCTTGGATTTTATTTTCAAAATTAGAGGTGGTTATTATTTTTAAAATGGATATCAAATGGTGCAGAATAGGGTGGGGAATTAAAGCACATAATGTATAGCAGAATATAGTCAACAAACCTCCCACGCACACACGCATAATCACATGAGACAAATCCTATTTGCTGTGATAATAAATTTAAATGACATCAGATGATAGAATTAGCTGTCAGTTCTTTTCATATTTTGGTGTGGATGGCAACTTCTGTAAATTAATCTTTTAAACAGTGGATTTGGAGAGTGATTATTTACATAAGTATGGTGTGCATGTATTTAAAAGTTAGATACAAAAATATAGGGGCCAGCCCCATGGCGTAGTGGTTAAGTTCACACGCTGTGCTTTGGTGGCCTGGGGTTTGCAGGTTCAGATCCCAGGAGCAGATCTGGCACCGCTCATCAAGCCATGCTTTGGGAGGCATCCCACATATAAAATAGAGGAAGATGGGCACAGATGTTAGCTCAAGGCCAGTCTTCCTCAGGAAAAAGAGGAAGATTGGCAACAGATGTTAGCTAAGGGCCAATCTTCCTCAAACTAAATATGTATATATATATTCTTGTATATGTGAAAAATAAAGTAATATGAAACTGTTGCATTCACATATTTTCAACAACCTGAATTTGAATTTCTTTGAAAACTAAAGGCAAAATCTATATTTTCACTGCCTTAGTTTATACAAAAAGTCAGATGAAAATGTGTTGATCCACTTGCAGGAACAAGAAAATTGAACTATATGCACATTTTATAATTAAGCAGTGATTGGTTATAGGTACCAGTGATCACTAGAGCTTCCAGCCTGTAAATTATAAAGATACGATGTTATTATTTCTGCTGTAAATTTTAGTGTCTACATAGCCAGGGGATCTAATATCCCAGATGGCGGCTCACTGGCATTGTGCTTCAGACCTGAGAGCTAACAAATAAAAATGAAAAACATTTGGCTATGATTAAAGAACAAAGAAACAAGAGGATGGAGAGCAACAGGTTCAGAAAATAAGGAACAGTTGCCTTACCCTAATTATAGCCATCTTGACTTCTCTTCTTTCTTCTGTATCAATTGGAAGTTTGGTGGAAAATTAACCCTTTTGCCTAATTATAGAAATAAATTTATTGCAGATTTTCTAAAGTGACTTTATGTTTTTCCTTAAGCTCAGATTTCAAAAGTCAGTTGCAGTGTGCATTGGCCACAGTCCTTTCCTTTGATAGTTCAGCAGTTCGCTTTTCATTTCCTAAGACTGAATTTTTTATATCTTCCATCATCTAAATGAGGGTGTGTTGACATAAATAAGAATCTGAAAGATTCAACTAATTAAAAAAGTTTTACATCTGGATGAGGCTGAGTTGTGCTTAAGTGTGGCTGAGTCTAAGAAATGATAGAACATTCTGTGTAACCATCATGATTTTGCAGATTTTTTATTGTTCCCGTTCAGCACTAAAATAAGGCCTGAGTTCTGACCCTTGTTTTTCATAAATCTTCTCATAGTTAGTAACGCTTGTGGAAATTGGGACATTTTGGGTTTTCCAATAGAGATGAATTTGTTGAGATGTAGATTAGTTTATACTTTATTGCTTGCTCTTCATTCCTACTTTTCCCACTTTTTATCACAAATGCCTTCATTTATTCTGTGTTCCTCTTTCCTCTTCTATAGGAAGCTATATATTTCTTTTGTAAATGTTTTAGAAAGAGTGACACCCATTGACTTTATAGACGGGTGCATACCATATGATCTCCTTGGTACCTAAAATGGCTTTTTTTGCTTATTTGAGATTAATTAAACACAGGTACGTGAGTAAAAATGAGGCAAAGAACCACAACTTTCAATGCCAAAGGCCTGTTGAAACATTGGTTTTGTGTGCATTGCAGATTGATGGCTTTCTCTGTTAATTTTCCTCTATCTTTACTTTAGTTCTGAAGCAGATGCCTCCTCCCCACACTCAACCCCGACCCCTCAACACACACACACAAAAGCAGCTGAAGCTTCCAAAGGAAAAGATGTTATAGGTGTGCCTGTTGAGTTCTGGTGGTTCTGAGTAAACAGGAATATAAAGAAGCAAGGTCGGTCCAAGACTGAAAAGTTTTTTGTAGTATCTTGTGTTTCAGTTGTTTCCTTACTATCTGGCACTAGCAGTTGTGGACTGATAAGCGTAATTAATGTTGTAAACGTATGCTCTGGTAGGAGGCAGTGCCGATGATACCGCCGTTTTGAAGTAGGAATCCTGTTTTGAATCGTGAGAATGCCCTGAACTTACCATGGAAATCAGAATAGAGATGACACCTGCATTTCCCTCCATCCCGAACCGTTTTTTCGTAGTACCATAACTTCCTTCTAAAACAGAGACTTGATCAGTTCCTTAAGCTTTTTAATCAATTTTGGCTCCCAGTTCTTTGTAGCAGTGGATCTTAAGGAGGGGAGTACGTTAGAATTGCCCAGGGAGCTTCTAAAATATGACATATCTGGAACTCAACATCAGAAACTCTGATTTTTAGGTAGGAGTGGCAAGTGTATTTGACAGAAGCTGTGTTCATTGTTTCAGATGCCTCTTTATGTCGTGTCCCAACCACACGTCCTCATCCTGTCGCAGGCCATTTCCTCCAGTCGCCTTCTGCTCTTCACCAGCCTTACTTAGGCAAGATATTGTACAAACCATTCTATTCCAGCCCTCTGTACTTTTGAACATTCTGTTCCTACTGCCAAAATACCTTCTCCTTTCCTTCGCTCCCTCCCCTTCTGTCCATTCCAGGTCTGTCATCTGTCAAACGACTACTTATCTTCCTGGATTCTCCTGTAATGACAAATCTTTATTAGATTAGTCATTGCTAGAAATAGTCACACTCTCTTTTGTGTTTAGCATTTATATCTGATGATGATTTTTTTAGGTGTCCCTCTCTCATAGTAAACTCATGTAATTTATCTTGTTCATGAGTGAGCACATGGGTATGGATGAGTGATAAAGTGAAAGCCTGTTAGGAATTTAAATGTACAGTTTTTATCAACATTGTTTTTAAGGACATTAAGTTGAGGTTCGTGACCAGCCACCAAGATCTAGGTTGATACAGTACTTAATTTTATTTTTTATAATGTATATTCCCATTAAAACTGACATGCATATATATATTTATTTTTTCCCTTCATTTTTCCTCCCTTGTGTCTACAGACGAAATCTCACAAAACTGTCCCTTATCTTCAGTCACATGCTGGCAGAAATCAAGGCAATCTTTCCTAATGGGCAATTCCAGGGAGATACCTTTCGAATCACGAAAGCAGATGCTGCAGAATTCTGGAGAAAGTTTTTTGGGGACAAGTAAGTACAAATCATTTCACAGTTTGGCTCCATCTTTGAAAAATGGCCTAATCCTGCCTCCAATTCCATATGGTATAGATCTTACTTGGGTATTTTGAGAATATACTTGAGTGTTTTTGATAAGTGTTTTGATTGCTAATTTTTCTGTTAAGTTAGCCACCAAAAGTATACCTCAATAGCTGGATAGTTTTATGTCATTACCAAGTAAATGTCAGTTATACGACATTTACTTATTTGATGAGCATTTGAGTTAGAGTTTGCTCTAAGAAGCAGCAGTATGTAAGATAGAGTCTGTCTACATGGGAAGCTCATAACTTTTTTTAACGGTACATGCATAAAACACATACACAGAATAAAAGGCAGAAGGGATAGATATTTTAAAAACGGCGTAAATAAGTTGTTCTGATGATTCCAAGAGGGGAACAGTTGCTTCAGGATTTCAGGATCAGGGACTGCTTCCTGGAGGAGGTGGTGTCTAAGCTTGGTTAAGATCTGAAATCAAGGTGGGAAAAGACCTGTATTTAGACTTGCTTTGTCTCATTGCACAGAAAGTATACATGTGTAAACAAGATATGAAAATGAGGATAAGGTTATCACAAAGTTGCCTTCTATCACAAAGTAGCTAAAGATGTTTCCTTTAGGTACTTCCTACCCAGACACAAACTCTGGTGAGTTAAGTAAATACTAGGGATTGAATGTCTAAAGTCAGTATAATTTAAATAAAACTTGCACGGTTTTTCTTGGGAATCTCTCAGTGAGATGATCAAGAACTGAGCATCAAGAGGCAATGGTTTCTTGCCTAGCCTTTTAGGGATCCCTTTGATGAGGTAGTGCCCTAAGAATGTCCTTCAACACAGGCAGAATCCTGGCTGAGTGTTAAGGAGGAAGAGTGATTGCTTACACATAGATTTCTGTTTTCATTCCTGTAGTTAAAAGTCTGTATTTATACATTAGCTGATGATAGGAGACATATAAAATGTTGATCTACACTTTTGATGATCGTAGCCCTCTGATGCTGGTGAATTAACTGTAACATTGGGTTTTCTTTCCTTTTTCTTTATGAAGTGCTCTTTATCTATAGCTACCGCCATGATTAGAATATATTTACATAAAGCAATGCACATTTTATTAGGTACATAATGTTTTGGTTTTGAAAATATTAAAACCTTTAACCCACTTCTTAAATAAACTGTATCCTGAATTATTCTTAGGCACTAAAAGAGGAAATGTGGTTATTGCCATTAACACAGACATTCTGTGTCCCAGAAATTTAGCTATTTGTAATGCTCCTATATCCATTCACAAATGAGAAATTAAAAAGAGAAAACGTTCCTTCTCATCTATTAGAATAGCGGTCAAGTGTATGCTAATTAAATATTTGTGACTGGTAGGAGGCAGAAGGGATGGCCTTCTGGAGAGAGGAGCTGCGAGGAGTTCTTGAAGTTACAGCTCATATATTAGCACTGAGCTAATGCAAACAGTTGGTGACTTCAAAATAAACTTTATCTTAAAATTTTAAGAAAACCTATAGGACAAATTGTTTGTGGTGTTTCTTTTTGAAAACTGAGAATTCTACTGTTATAAAATTGTTTGCTTGCCAAAAGGTCAGTTAAAAAAATAGACAGATTACTCACACGTTTTCCAAGAGAGGAGTTAGTTTTGCTGGCACCTCAAGCCACAGAGAATTATGCATTGAGACATCTTTATTTCCCTTTATTTATAACCACAGACATCAAGAGGCTGAAATTTCTGTCCAACTGCTACATGAGTGAAACCACTAGTGAATCAAATGGGGCATTCTTGAAATACAGATTAAATACTCTCCCTTCCTCCCAACCCTATGCCTTTGTCTCCTGTCTTCACTTATTTTAGAAAATTGCTTGATTTGCTTGTAACGTTTTTATTTTTGGATGAGAGCCAAATTTAAAGCTCCTTCTGGAACTCAGATGTATTTCTATAGTCATCAAAATTAATGATTCTTTTATTAGATCATTGGAGAAGCCATCTTTATATTCTCTGAGGATTTTCACCTTATAGTTCCATTATATTTTATTGAATGAATGAACCCAATAAATGAATGATTTCAGAACTTTAAATTCCTTTATCTTCCTTAAGCTCTAATAGTAGTTTGTGTTTCTGCATAACTTAGTTCTCCTCTGGAAGTATTTCCGTTCTTTATCTCGCTGCGTATTGAGGACATGTAAGCCTGCTTTCATTTGACCTAACCAAGTGCCTTTAAACTTGAAAGCAGTATTCTTTCCAAAAACAGAACCATTGAGAGGTTAGTTCTAAAAATAGACAGATTATGATTTTTATAAAGCAGCTTTTAGCTTAACTAGTATTACTGTGACTTTTTTCCCAAAAACAATTGTCAGCAAGAACAGAATATTAAGATTGAGTTAAAATTGGCAAAATGCTATTGTTCAGAAAACTTTGTAAAACTCCTAAAGGCGATGTTAGGATTCAGATCTCGTAAACACAGGCAGCAGGCACACAAACCTCTTTAGGGGTCATATGCCCCCTGCTTCATCTCTCTGCTTCCAGGCCTTCTTGACGTCACGGCAGGCCCACCTCTGTTCAGGACCTGGCCCCTGCCGCCAAGAGGCTCTGCCAGCCCGGAGTCCCCAGGGATCAGTAACACATCATGTGTCATGGGAAACCGGTTGGGAGGTTTTGCATTTGTTAGATTTTTATGCAAATTCATTGAATGTTTTAATAGTTGAATCCCGCTTTTGTTCTCTTAGTCTGTTGACCAGGAGACAGTAGAAATATGTAGGAAAAGAGCAGTGACGTTATTGAATAAATGTGTCTAAGTAAATTCTGTAACATGAGCCAAACCAAACTGCGTCTTCGCATGCTGGATTAGTAGTTTATAATTCAGAAACCTTAAGGATGAGGCTCCAAAGATGTATGATTAGCTTTAAAAAAAAGAAAAAAGACATTAATGTGATTAGACTCTGGGTGACAGTCATTTTTCTAAGCAAGTCTGCTAGCAGCTCCTGGGCTGCTCGTACTGAGGACTTCTTGTCATTGAGGAGATTTAGACATGCGTTTCCAAGCAGATGATGATTCAGCAAGAACCGAGGGTTCTAACTCCTGAATCTCTCTATGCACCTTCTCCTCCCCATGCTTCCTTTCCTTCAAGTTCTGTTCTTCAAGTTCAAGTTTGAGTTCTTCCCTGGACTACTGCAGCAGCTCTCTGACTGCTCTCTCTATCTTCAGTAACCTATCCGGTTGTGTTGCTTAGTGAAACCAGTGAGCCCTTTAAAAAGCAGAACTCATCATTCTAATTTGTTTTGCCTGAAATGCTTCTATGAATCATTATTAATTCTGGGTTAAAGTCCAAAATCCCATTAACATGACAAGCTCCGGGAACTGTTTTTGCTGGGTTCATCTCTTTGTGGTCCGCTCATCCTCAAAGACACAAGTAAACTGCTTAACACTCCACACTTATTTCCTAACATGCTTCTTTTTTTCACACATCAGTGTCTTTGTTTCCCTCTCTTACACCCACTGCTGGGGAAGCCAGTCGCCCACACCCTACCCAGAGTTGCCACTCTGGCAGCTTTCCTTGACTCCCCATTCTAAGGTGGACACCCCTGCTCTGTGCTCCCAGGGACCTGTGCGCACTTCTGTCAGACTGCACTGCAGTGAACTGCTGACATGTTCACATTTTCCAGGAGACTAGAAAGATTTCTGGGAGGCAGGGATGTGCCTTACTGAGTTTTTCTCAGAGCATGGCACATCTCCTGGAGTGTGTAAGCTCTCCTTACTGTCAGCAGCCTGTATGACTGAATGTATGGATGAGTGCTTGGGTGGATGGTGTTTGTTCTCTGCTCAGAATTTTCAATAACTTTATTATCTACAAATTGATTTTTTTGTCATCGGTTCTTACACTTCTGCTCCCTGGCATGCCTCTCTCCCCCCTTTCTTTTCCACCTTTGTAGAATTTTGACTCTCTTTTAGTCTAGTTCAGAAGTCTTCTTTTCTGGATTGTTCATACTAATATGCACCCTCCCACATGTTTGCCTTTAATTACTTTATGCTTTGTGTTCCTGTTATATTTTAAATACATTTATATTATTGAATTTATGTTTACTATATGGGTTTTCCTGTTTGATTATGAAGCTCCTTGTTGAATTTTTTATTCAAAAATTAGTAAAAACATACATTTATTAGAGTTATTTTATGTCAAACTCTGTGATCGATGCATTCACATATGCTGGCTCCATTTTCAGTATAAGATTTAAGCATTATTCTTTCAATGGCTATTGAATGAGTCCTTTGGGTACTGTCTACATAACAGACGCTCAGTAACTGTGGGTCGAGTTCATCGTGCATTTTTCTACCATTTAAGTTCTCTCCTCCTTTACTTATGTCCTGTTGTTCAGTCAAGTTGGATTATTTGGCTCTTTCCTGACACATCAGCAATTACAGGTTTCTGTCTTTGCCCATGTTGCTCCTTCTGCTTGAAGATTTTTATAATCTCTGGCATAAAAGTTCTCACTCGTCCCTCACAGTTGTCTTGCTCATGATTCTATCCCTTATTGATATTATTAGATCTTTTACTCTTCTAAGCTCTTGTTTGTCCTCTGTATTTGTTACTCTGTCAAGATTGTCTGTCTAGTTATCTTACTTCCCATTAGACTATAAACTCCATGGAGTCAGGCTTATTCATTCATGTCTGTGTTTCCGGAAGTAGCTCAGTACAGTGTCTCATGTTTAGCCCTCCGGGAGCTGCTGCTCTTTCCTTCAACTGAGTTGAGCAGTAGAGGAATGTGTGTGAGCCTGTGCATGTGAGAGAGAGAGGAGAGGCGGAATGTGCTCGCTTGCTTTGTCGAGAGGCAGTGTGCTTGGGGGTGGGTGTGCAGGCGCACCGTCTGTGTTCAGGTGCCCACTGCAGCATTTACTAGCTTTCTGACTTTGGGCAAGCTACTTGGTTTTTCCAGCCGTCAGTTTCTTCCTCTGTGGAATGTGGATGATAGCAACAGTAATACCTA